TCAGCACTATTTACACGTGTTTCCTGGAGGGGCAGGTCCTCATCTCAATCGCAGCAGCTGCACTTCTGAGCCTCGGCCTCAGGCCCCTCTCCGCCTTTGCACACACAATCCTTGGTGCATTTTTCGCACTCAGGCGGGCAGCAGGAGCAGCAGCCTGCGGGTAAAACAAGGGGAGGGGGTAGAAGGAGAGGTGCCAGGAGGCTGGTTGTTGTCACACCTGGTCTGACTCAGCGTCTATGGTATGTCAGCTGCTTGCTGGGCTGCCTGTGGGAGAGGGGTACCCAGCCCCCAGCCCCTCAGGTAAGTGCTGGTGAGGCAGGATAGTAGGAAGCTAGGAAAATTCCTTGGCAATTGGAGCTGAGAACCTGAGACAAATAGCTGAACAGACTAGCCGAGCAATTTACAGCCACACACAGGTCACCAGGGCGGAAAGCCCTGGGTGCCCAGCAATGAGCAAAACTAATGCCAGGCCTCGCTGCCCGGGGTCGCCTTCCCTCCCCCAGCTTCATGCTGATCCTGCGGTTTGGTCCCGGCCTGACCTTTCCTCCCCGGAGATAACATCTAGGCCTCGGCTATATTTCAGCTCCAGGCCCCGAAAAGCAGCAAAACCAGGTGGCAATGTCTAATGACTCCCCTGCCCTGGTGTTGACCAATCCGTGGACACCACCATCTAGAAAAGCTGAGGAATGGTCTATGGCAGCCGTGGGCAAACTACGGCCCTCGGGCTGGATCCGGCCCGTTTGAAATGAATAAAACTAAAAAAAAAAAGACCGTACCCTTTTATGTAATGATGTTTACTTTGAATTTATATTAGTTCACACAAACACTCCATCCATGCTTTTGTTCCGGCCTTCCGGTCCAGTTTAAGAACCCATTGTGGCCCTCGAGTCAAAAAGTTTGCCCACCCCTGGTCTATGGAGATCGGCCCTGAGAGCTCCCCTAGAATCCCCACCTCGGAGATCAGATGAAACCCTTCGAGACAAAGAAGCCAGCCTGCCCCTCCTTGGGCACACTCACTCGGACCTCCCTTTCGAGTGAATTTTCTTTCTCCTAAACTCTAAGGGTCCCCATGGGCCTGTGACCAGGGGAGCCATGGGCCGTGGCAGCTCCTCCCGGCTAACCCCCCTGAACCTGTCCCCAAGGCCCTCTCCTCCCACTATCCAGTGAGCTGACAGCGGCCGCCTGGGCTCACTTCTTCCCTGTAACGTTTCTAGGGAGCCAACGCCGCCCCCCGGGGCTCCCTCCTGTTGCTACTGCTCCCCTAGGCCCTTCCTGGTTCCACTGTCCCCAGCCTTAACACATGAAGTAAGAAACCCAGACGCTACCCACTGGCCTGAGGCCCAGTCCCCTTTCTGGTCACACAGGGGAGTCCGGGAGCAGGGTCAGGCCCCGGCTGGGGGAGAGCTGGGCCTGACGGAAAAAGCATCACAGGGCACATGGCCTTGAGAAGAAGCTTGGAGGATGCACTAGGAGGAACACAGAGGGTACAGGTGTGGGGGGGTCCAGGAGACCCATGGGGTCATCTAGTCTTACACCCCCTGGAAAAGAGAGGCCTCCTCCCACCTCCTACTCCCCAGGCACATGACACTGCTGCTGCGTCTGGGGAGACCTGGGGAGGTCACATTAAGGGGAATCCACAAAGGCCTGAGGGGGATGGGAAGTCCATCGCCAACCCCCAAACTCACTAATGGCTCCCCCAGGCACTGGAGGTTTTAAGCGGGGAGAGAAAGGGGGCGGGGTGGACCAGGATGACAGTCCTCAGTTCCAGCTTCCCGTTGGAATCTTCTGGGAATTTCCAAAACGTCTTGCCCCAGGCCTGCTGGATGAATCACTGGGGGTGGGGCCAGGCCGATTGTATCTTCAGGCCTCCCCAGGACCTCTGTCCCGGAAAGAGTCAGAAGCAATGTAGTAGGGGCCCCGGGGTCTCTCCATGTTGCCTGGACAGGCGAGGGGAGCAGAGCAGGCAGGGGCAGAGGGGGTCCCACACTCACTTTTCTTGCAGGAGGTGCATTTGCATCCCTCGCACTTGCAGGAGTCGGAGCCAGCGCAGGTGCAGGACCCTCCTAGACGGGGAGAAGGTTCAAGTGGGAAAACTCGGGCGGGGCCAGGCTTAAAGGGAGGAGGCGGGTGCCGAACCTCAGTGCCCTGTGGGATATGCCCACCCTTCACGAGGTTCAAAATGGGAAATAAGGGTCCCTTCCCCCAAAAGTCCTTGTCGGAAGCCAGAGAACTTGGGATTCTTTGGGAGTGCGGGGGCGCGCTGTGCCGCAGCATGGAGGAGGGGGCTCACCAGTAGGACAGGGGCAGGTCTCAGGGTCCATGTCGAGCGGAGATGGCACTGGAGCGGGTGAATTGGCTTCTCCCGACCACTGGAGGCTCAGTGGCCGCAGGTGATGAGGCTTTTATAGCCCCAGGCGGGGCCGCGCAAGCACAGCCCGCGGCGCGCGCGCTCGGCGCCCCCTCTCCATCTGGGCTCCCAGGAAAGCGCGCATTGCGGCAGCGGTCCTCCTCCCCCGTCGTGCTCCCCCACTCCCCGCTTGGCGTGCAGCCACCTCACTCCCCACTGTGTGCACAGGGGAGGGCACTCCCCACCTCGGTGCACGCCTCGGTGTGCACGGCGGGGACGCGTCCTTGAGACTGAGGCTTCTGAGCCGGGAGAGCAATCTCCCCGCCCGCGCCCCACGGTGATGGGTAATTTACATGTCAACCCGCCTGGGGCCGAGGGAGGCCCAGACAGCTGGGAAAACCTCATTTCAGAGTGTGTCTGTGAGGCTGTGTCCGGAAGGGATTAGCATTTGAATTGTTAGTCTGAGTGAAGCTTGCTCCCACCAGTGTGGGTGGGCAGCAGCCAGGCTGTTGAGGGCCTGGATAGAGAAAGGCAGGAGGGCGAATGGCCTTGCCTGAGCCCAGACATCCCTCTCCTGCCCAGAGACGTTGGCCGCTCCTGGTTCTCAGGTTTCTAACGGCCTGAATGCACCACCTGCTGTCCTGGTTCTCCAGCGTGCAGGTGGGAGACTGTGGGCCTCAGCCTCCACAACATGTGAGCCAACTCCTATCATAAATGCATAACCTATATATGTACGGGGCGGGGCAAAAGTAACTTTACAGTTGTGACTATGCAAAAGTTTATTCTTGTATTATTATTTATTAATGATTGTATTCCATATGAACAACTGTAAACCCATGTTTGCCCCACTATATATATATATACACACACATATATACATATAGGTACATAGCTATATATGTATATATATGTCATATCAAGATCCATATATATACTGGTTCTGTTTCTCTGGAGAACCTTAATACACCCCTCTACACCCTAGGGTAGCCAGGATCTTGAGGGGTCTGAAAACCATAACATCCTTCTAAAACACCCTCCTCCCCTTTATTCTTCCTTTATTGTATAAATTTTTGGAGAATTAAATATGTGCAGATATAAGCCTTTCAAATATAAAATTAGAAGCCTACAGTACACTGATTTATAAATGACTTTTCCCATATTTATCAATAGATTGTAAATTTCTGTCCCTGAAATTAATTTCACTTCTACGATTTTTAAAAAATATATTTTTATTGATTTCAGAGAGGAAGGGAGAGGGAGATAGAAACATCAATGATGAGAGAGAATCATTGATTGGCTGCCTCCTGCATGCCTCCCACTGGGGGTCAAGCCTACAGCTGTGGCATGTGCCCTTGACCGGAATTGAACCTGGGACTCTTCGGTCTGCAGGCGGATGCTCTATCCACTCAGCCAAACTGGCTAGGGCTATGTCCATGATTTTTCTCTTAGGAGACAACATTCTTTAAAGTAGAATTTATGTCTCAAAGTATACATATTTTTTTCTTTTCGAACAGTATTTATTTTAATAAAGGCCATGTCAGTAAATTTTGGAAAATTTTGAAAAATAGAAAGAAAAATATCTGTGATTTGAACTCAGCCACTGTCAACATTTTAGTATATTTCATTTTCACATTTTGTATTCTATGTGGCCTTTCTTCTGGAAAAAAAAAAAAAAAGACTGCATAACTAATTCATAGCCTATAATTTAAGATTTTACCAAATCATTTCCTGTGCATTTTTAGTGGCCGTGTCATATCCCATCATGTGCACAGGCCACAGCTTACTTGAACAATTTCATAGCCTTAGACATGAGGTTGTTTACAGTTTTTCACAATTATAAATAGTATTGAAGTGCACCCTCCTGTGAGTGAGTGAGGCCCCCCCGCCCCCCACTGAATTTGTGGTGAGTTCCCTAATTTAGATTTCCAGTAGTGAAACTATTGGGTAAAATGGGAACAAATGTTTTTGTGGCCCATTGATTACATTGCCAAATTATTTTATGTTTTAAAAATATTTTTATTGATTTCAGAGAGGAAGGGAGAGGAGGAGAGAGATGGAAACATCAATGATGAGAGAATCATTGATCAGCTGCCTCCTGCACATCCCACACTGGGGATCGAGTCCGAAACCTGGGCATGTGCCCTGACAGGGAATTGGACCATGACCTCCTGGGTCATAGGTCTACAGTCAACCATTGGGCCACACCAGCCAGGAGCCAAATTATTTTAAAAGCCGTATGCCCTGTGAATCTGGGTGGTAGTTTACACTTCGTTAAGGCCTTTACAACTAAGGCGCAATCGTCTGTTGGAGAGCTGGCTTTGATTTATCCTCCGAGCGTTTGTACCTGAGGGGTCTAAGCCCTTTCTGGGATGTCTGGGTCCCAAAGCCAGCCAGCGTGAAGCGTGAACACCCCTCTCAATCCTTGTACCATTCCCAAGGGCCCAGCATACTCCTGCCTCAGCTGCCTGTGTGCCTGGAGCGCCCCCTGCAGTCCACACGAGGAACTTCCTTTCTTGTCTTGTGACCGGGCCTCCATTGCTTTCCCACCAAGCCCTCCTCTGGTCTCCATCCAAGTTGGAATGTATCCTGAGCAGGTGCTGAGTCTGTCACAGCCCGTCCGAGGTCTCCATTGTCTTCCTTAGGCAGCATGGGAACACGATCCATGACGTGTCAGCCTCCTGACACAGCACCTGCCGGCTCCAGGAAGCTCTGCCGTGAGAAAGCTCTCCTTGACCTGAAATCTGTTTCCTTCGTGTCTCCTCTGCTTAAGTTTCACTCCTGCAAGGTTGCTTGTAACCCGCCTGCTTACTTCCCACTTCAGCTCCACCCCATCCCCGTCTCCCCACATGGTCTTCAAGCTTCCCTCTCAGCTAGTCCTGCCCGAGTTGGGGTCTTCTCCGAGCCTCAGTTTCCCCACCTGTAGAATGAGGTAGCAATCCCCATTCTGTAGGGTTGTTGCAAAGATGAGCAATTATACCAGTAAAAGGCCTACAAGATGGTAGACTGAAAACATGCATTTACCTCTCCTTCCTCCTGAAAATCAATCAAAAGAAACTTTATAAAGACAAGGAGAGAAAAGAGAAAAACGAATAAACGAACTGAGGATTGGAGTTTGTGGAGCAGAGACTGCCGGACCCTTAGGCTAGATCCAGTTAGATCCCAGCAGAACGAAGATTGCTCCCACAAATCCCACCCCCCTTCCCTGTGCCCCAGGCTGCTGGTTCCTGGAACAGGCCATTGCCCTTTCTTAGGCAAGTGGGTAAGTCTTTGCCCCATTATCCGGGGTGGGTCACACCCCAGTACCCCTATTCATCCAGCCCTGTCCTACATAACCCCTTAACGCCTGCCACATGGTGCAGGGGGCATCCATGTCGTCTTGCTGTCCCCAGATGAGCCTTGTATGTATATAAGTTCCCTTCCTAAGCTCTTCATATAATGATGGAGTTGTTAGCCTCTTTCTTTGGTGTCTTGGCCTCAAGACATTTTATATAACAGTGTGAGGAAAGATGACTTGGACAAGTACATCACTGAATCAGGCTTTAATGTTTTTCTGGAATATCAGACTGGGTCAAATCACATTTATGGGTGATGAATGGGAGCAGAGAAAGGCACAGCTCAGATCAAGACGTAGAGGGAGGTCAATGGGGAATTGTGTTTTGTGTTATTGGGGAATCAGGCTGGGACAGCAGAAGATGAAGGAGCTGCAGAAACCAGGATTCCTGGGGGATGGTGCGGACCAGGTCTCAGATCTGTCCCACTGTAAGGGTAAAGATATGGGGTATCTATTTTACCTCCTCACTACTATTTGTCATTGGTTAGGGGCTATTCCCCGTGGCCTTGACTCCCCAGTTCCCCCAGCCTACTCTGTGCTTGCGGCAAGAAAGCTCAGGCAACCCAGCCAGTGTGGCTCAGGGGTTGAGCGTTGACCCAGGAACCAGGAGGTCATGGTTTGATTCCGGGGTCAGGGAACATGCCTGAGTGGTGGGCTAAATCCCCAGTGTGGGGCGTGCAGGAGGCAGCCAATTGATGATTTTTGTGTGTGTGTGTGTGTGTGTGTGTGTGTGTGTGTGTTTTAAAAATATATTTTTTTATTGCTTTCAGAGATGAAGGGAGAGAGAGAGTAAAAAATATATATAGAGAGAAACATCAATGATGAGAGAGAACCATTGATTGGCTGCCTCCTGCACACCCCACACTGGGGTTCAAGCCTACAACCTGGGCATGTGCCCTGACCCAAAATTGAACCTTGACCTCCTGGCTCATAGGTGACGCTCCAACACTGACCCATGTGCAGCTGGGCTGATGATGTTTCTCTCTCCTTGATGTTTCTACCTCTCTAACTCTCTCTCTTCCTCTCTCTCTCTCAAAATCAATCAAAACATATTAAAAAAAAAAAAAAGGCCCAGGCAGCAGGAGAAAGTCCCCAGGCAGAGTTGCAGGAGCCTGCCATTAGCAACCTGGGCAGAAGGGATGCAGGCAGGCAACCGCCATATCTGCAATGGAGTTGGCCCTTCTGGGTCCTTCTGAGTGAGGCTCAAACAGTGCTCTGACCACCAGACAACCATGAATGGAAACTTTATTGCTCCAACACTTTACATGAATGTCACCAACACCTCGTTGGGCAAATATATAAAAAGTACACTCATCTCAACTTCTCCACTAATGCTCTGTACAGACGCTTCCCAGGCCGCACCCCAGCACGCCGGGTGCCCTTCAGGGGCAGCAGCTGCACTTGCTGGAGCCTCCTTTGCAGATGCAGCCCTGGGCACACTTGGCACAGCCCGGGGGGCAGCAGGAGCAGCAGCCTAGAAGGGTCGGGAGATGGACAGATCAGCTTGCGGTCCGCACTGCTCTCTTACCACCTTCCCTCCCACCGCTCAGAGGAAGTAGGAAAAGAAGAGCCTGCCATGGGCTTCAATCCGCAGTCACAAAACCCTGGGACCGGACGTTGTGGGCTGTTGGAGCTGGAAGGCATCTCAGAGGCCATGTGGAGTCCATCAGAGGCCCAGAGTGGGGCCAGGGTTTGCCCAGGGGTATTGGACAGTGGCTGATCCGGGACCAAACCCCAGAGCTGCTGACTCCAGGCCAGTGCTCTTTCCCCATCTCCGCTGGGCAGGCTGGAACCTCCCCGCAGTCCTCCCAAGTGGGCAAAAGGCACCCAGATCCCGCTCCCTCCCACCATGGCTGGGGGTTGCGGATGGAGGGAACAGAGTTCCCTAGCGCCTGGCCCTCGGTGCCCCAGTCGCCGGACTCACTTTTTCGACACGTTTTACAGTTGCAAGTTGTGCATTTGCAGTTGTCTCCACAGATGCATATTCCTCCTGGAAGAGAGGACAGAGCACAAACGTGAGGACCAAGGCGGACGGGGCACACAGGGTGGGCTGCAGAGCGCCCCCGGGGCAGGGTCTCCGGGCCGTCGCTGGGCCGTGCTGGGCAAGAGGGGAAGATGCTGTTCAGCATCATTCCAAGCGGCGAGGACCACCCAGTGGTTCCCAGTCACAGGCCACGCACGGAAACCCCAAACCCCGGTGGCTGCTCAGTAACCCCCAGGATCCTCGCTAACATGCAGATTCCTGGGACCAACCTTTGAGATGTTCTGATTCAAAAATCTGGGTGGGGAAAGGGAGTCAGTATATATATTTTAAATATTTTTATTGATTTCAGAGAGGAAGGGGGAGGGAGAGAGAGAGAAACATCAATGATGAGAGAGTATCATTGATCGGCTGCCTCCTGCACACCCCCCTACCCGGGATTGAGCCCACAGCATTTGACTGGAATCGAACCTGGGATCCTTCAGTCCCCAGGCTGATGCTCTATCCACTGAGCCAAACCGCTGGGGCAGTATTTTTATTTTTATTTTTTTAAAATATATTTATATTGATTGCAGAGAGGAAGGAAGAGGGAGAGACAGATAGAAACATCAATGATAAGAGAGAATCATTGATTGACTGCCTCCTTCATGCCCCCTACTGGGGATTGAGCATGCAACTAGGGCAGTGGTCGGCAAACTGCGGCTCGTGAGCCACACGCGGCTCTTTGGCCCCTTGAGTGTGGCTCTTAAACAAAATACCGACTTCTGCGCCACAAAGTTTCAATCGCACTGTACGTGCGTGCCCGCACGTGGTATTTTGTGGAAGAGCCACACTCAAGAGGCCAAAGAGCCGCGTGTGGCTCGCGAGCCGCATTTTGCCGAGCACTGAACTAGGGCATGTGCCCTGACCAGGAATCGAACTGTGACCTCCTGGTTCATAGGTTGACAGTCAATCACTGAGCCACACAGATCCGGCGGGAGTCAGTATTTTAAAAAAGGAGCACAGGTGATTCTACTGTAGAATCCAGTTTGAGAACCACTGGGCTAGGCCATCTCCACCAAGTCCAAGTTCCCACAGGAACTGTGGAGGAAATTGAGACCTGGAGATACTAAGTGTCAGAAGTGATTGCAGCAACGGACCAAAACCAGGTTTCCAGGATCTGGGCTGGAGCTCGTTCCCTGTCCTGGTGGCTGCCTGTAGGGGCCTGCTGCTAGGTCCCCCCCACAGTCATTCCAGAGCCAGGTTATCAATTCTAGCAAATGAGGCTGGTAGCCAACAGAGGGTGGGGTCTGCCCCAGAGGTCCCCAGTCTGAAACAAACACCACTGGCGGCTCCTACCTGCAGGAAGGAAGCCTGAACCAGACACCTGCAGGCTCTGCAG